AGTGGTTCTCATCACTGACAGCCTGGAACAAGGGTTTGCTGCTCCAGTGGCCAGAAAAAACCCCAGCCGTAAAAAAAAAACATGGATGTGCAATGGGAGAATGCAGGGATATTGGAGTGTCTGAATGCTGGAATACTGGAGTGTCTGAATGCTGGAATACTGGAGTGTCTGAATGCTGGAATACTGGAGTGTCTATATATTGGAATACTGGAATATCTAAATGCTGGAATACTGGACTGTCAATTCCTGAATATAGGAGTCTCTGAATGTTGGAATATTGGAATGTCTGAATGTTAGAATTTCTAGAATTTTGCAATGTCAGAAAGCTGGCATATGTCAATATGTCACTGAGGCACCTGGTCCTTCTGTCCAAGGTGAAAACTTGTAATGGAAAGATTGCTGGTTCGAATCCCCGACCAGCAAGGCACCACTGAGGTACCCTAAGCAAGGTACTGCTCCTCAGGCACTAAATTTGCTGCCCCCTATCACGATGTCACATACGGGTTAAATGCAGAGGACACATTTTGTTGTTGTGCTGTGGTGTGTCAACAATGACCACTGACCACCAAATGAATATCAGCGGTAATGTTTAGAAATGATCAAAGAATGTTTTCAAATATCACGCCTACAGCTTTAAAGTACCAAAATCTAAATTGTTAACAAAATAAGAATTTAAGGGTGACCAAATCATGCTCCAGGGCTCTTTGTCAAAATAACTGTCCAAACATGTGAATGTTGGCTGGCCTTAGCCTGGAATTATAATGACTAAAAATAACAACAAATGTAAATATATGTTTGTCTCACTGCGTGTCAGTTAGGAGGTACTGACCCATAGAGGCTAGGCTTGGCAGAGAACATGGAGACAGGTGCTGTGTGAAACAGACTGCTCTGTGGCAGATGACACAAGCTGGAGATTAAAGTGTGGATGTGCCCACGGTCTGGGTCACAACATCGCTCTCGATGATGATGGACACAGGGCCCCGGTCACCTGATCTGGGAGTCCGGCCTCCCCTGTTCTGGTCAGGCATGCTACGCAAAATGATGACAAACACAAATCAATGATGATTTATTTCATTAACATTCACATCACCCCCTGAAAGCCCCTGAAACCTGTTGTCACATTTATCTCTAACATACTACCCCGCAGTTCAGATGCTGGCCTTGCGTATCTGGCTGCACCCTCTGCTTGTCCTGTGTGTCCAACAGCACCCTCTGCTGGTGAGAGTCAGCCCAGCCAGCAAGGTCATCACAGGACTTGCTGTAGGAGGTGCAGCAAGTGATGCTCAGTGACGGGCTGCTGAGCACCGTCACTTGGAGTTGCGCACCTAGCGACGGCCTCATCTGAAATGCAAAGCCAACGTTAAGGCGACAAAATCAAAGCCCAGCATAACTGACAATTTTTTTTCTGTTTTTTTTTTTTTATTCCTGGTTCACTAGCAAGCTTCAGGGGACACCCCCTCTAATGACCAACATTTAGCAGTAACAGCTGTGCCTCATCAGTGGCCTTAAGTGGCAGCGGAGTGCAACAGAGCGGGAATTCTGCATCTGCGGACCTGCAGCTGGGCCAAGGCTCAGCTGGCGAGAGTGCATCTCGTTGCAGAACTTATGCTGTGCAGAGCAGAGGGTCAGGAGGTACTGAGCAATCTTCGAACTCTCTGCCACAAAGGAATGCTTCTTTCTGGAGGTTCGGGTCTCCACGGTGAACCTCCGCCACTGGGGCAAAGAAGCAGGAGCATCGTCACACGCGCTTGTTTGTTACCTTTCACACCGAAAGAGGCTGCATTTTCTTAAAGGTTATGCAGTGACATTTCAATATGCAAGTGAATCACAGCCATAGGGGACTATGGGAAACTCACAGTCAATGTTAGGAGTTACAGAGGACAGTGACAGACTCACAGTGGACAATAGGAGACATAGGGGACAGTGGCAGACTCACAGTGGACAATAAGAGCCATAGGGGACAGTGGCAGACTCACAGTGGACAGTAGAGGCCATATGGGACAGTGGCAGAGTCACAGTGGACAATAAGAGCCATAGGGGACAGTGGCAGAGTCACAGTGGACAATAAGAGCCATAGGGGACAGTGGCAGAGTCACAGTGGACAATAAGAGCCATAGGGGACAGTGGCAGACTCACAGCAGTAGCGGTC